AGGCAGCTGCCAGCCCCGGAAAACCGGTCCCGCTCAGCGCCGCTCCCAGTCTGGGCCCCACAGCCCTGCCACAGTCCAAACAACCCGCACCGTCATCTCCCCCGAAGAAACATTGTAACTTTCCTAGTGGTCTAAGTTCTCTAACTCGCCCCCTCTCATTTAATCGCTCCATCGATTAAAGAAGAAGAAGAAGAAGAAGAAGAAGAAGAAGAAGAAAAAGAATCAGGAACGAGTGGGAAAGGATTCGCTCATCCGTTTAGGGAGCAGACTTGGGTACACCCTAGTGCAAAAGGAGAAACTGAGTCCCCAGGGCTGCCACAGCTTGCTCTTCAAAGCCTTTGGCACAGAACAGGACAGAAAGGACAAAGTTCCTTAGGTCCCCCTGGAGGCATCTGCGGCTCCAACTCCTCTAGCCCGGGGGGTAATTGGCGTCTGGAGGAGGCTGCTCAGGCAAAACCACACCTGTGAACAGGTGTTTGGGTAAAGAGACACAGACCCAGTGTCAGCAGCCCTGGCTGTCCTGCGGGTCCTAAGTTTGCAGGCTTGGAGCTTGCTGTGAGCCCAGAAAGTTTCTGCTTGCTTTTCCAGCCTCCACTTTCCGGCCCGGTTTCATTCATTCACTCATTCATTGCAAAACTTTTAAGGGCTCCGGAGCTGTGCGCCCCGGTTTCTCCACAAAGCGCAAGGAGGTTGACACTCGGTTCCTACATGGCAAACTTTAATAAGTTGCCTCTTGAAGCATTTACAGAAAAGGGAGCCAGTGCGTAGAACTAACCGCATTCTAAAGCTCTTGCGCACTACAAAGAACACTTTAGAAAATGCCCTGAAGCTGCTTACATTCCCCGGAGCGAGCTTACTGTGCTTTGAGCACCAGAACTCCAAGTCGCGATGCTTTTAGGACCTTGTTTCCTGTTTCTTTCTTTCTTTTTCTTTTTTTCAAAACGAACAAATTTTGTTACTTATTCGAGGAAGATTTATACGAATAATTCCCCCCACACACACACACTGTCCTCGAATATGTCATTTCTGACCCAGCTTCTGAACTTTTGTAATTATTGTTCATATATGTTAGTGAATTTTGTTTATTTTCTGTCTGTTTCAACGCTAGAGTTTGACTTCTTTACGATCCTTTATCTCAGAGTCTCCGTGAGCTCTGTAATGGCTACAGTTTATCCAAGGAACCCGGGTCTAGCTACTTAAAGATTCTCTGTTAAAGGCTACAAAAGCAATCAACCACCTCCTCCTTCAGAATAACAAACCTGGGTGTTCTGAATCAAATCTTCTAAAACCAAATATATATAAATATATACATATATATAAATATATATGTTGTAGTTACAGAAACTACACTATCAAAGAACTCAAATCTTGACAACCTTGTCACACAAAACCTTATTCCTTTAAAACAATTTAAGATTTCCTGAGTGACCAGTAAAATGCTTCTGGGTTTTCCTAAGTGGAAGTAGGAAAAATAAAATTTCAGAACTTTAAAATGGAAGATTTGCAGTTGATCGAAAATTACAACTTTGTATGTATGTCCTGTTTTAAGGAACCAAGCCAGGAAAATCAAGGAATACAATGAAAGGAACTATGAAAATTATCCTAGGATAGTCTTTGTTAAAGAGAAGGCATGTTCACAAGTTAACATTTTTACCTCTGCTGTTGTTTGTTGACAGGGGGGTGGGTGGGGGGGAATGTTCCTGTGACCAACTGTTTCAGCCTAAGAAAGCAATTCCGGACCAAGCAAAAGAATCCAGGCTAGATCTTTGAGTTTTCTGGCCACATGTTGGAAAGCTTCAGGAGCTGGGATAGTTAAAGTGTCTGGATGAACTCCTGTGGGTGGGGTGAACAGAATCTAGACGTTTCACCAGAACTCCACAGGAAAACCTTGACCTTTTTTTTTTTTGTTATAGTTTTCAGGGAAAAGAAGGCAAGGATGAATGGGGACACTTTGCCTTCAAGATGGCATTTAGGGGATTTTTGAGGCTCACTTGGAGGAAGGCGACCTGACCACTGCAGCAGCAGATACAAACAGCACCCACCCTGGAGGCTCCTTGGAGCAATGTTGAAACAGGGCACCTGTTTCCCCGACCTCAGCACTTTTCCTCTCACCCCACAGTCCACAGGTCCCTAGCCCCTTCCCACATGGCCTCCACCCTTCCTCTCCTTCCGTCCCTCCCTCCTGACCTCCAGTGCCATAAAAGTAATCCTACTTTGTCCAAGGTCCAGGAATTTGTCAGGTTGCGTTTTAGCCAGAAATGAACTCTCTGCCCCCATTTTAGATCCCAAAGTTTTCCATACTGCCTTTGCTCAACCTATGATGTTTTCTTAAGACCCTGGGCCCTTTTCAACTTTTGGTCGTCGATATATTTTATAACTAAAGTTTACTGAAAAGATTTACCTTCGGTGCCACACTAATGGCTTTGCGTGTAGTATTTCCTTAATTTTGTCAACACTTTTTTTTTCTAATTTATTCACTATAGTCTTCATTGTTGAGTTAGGGAAATTGAGGCAGAGACTGAAGCAGTGCCTTGCCTTGCCTAAAGCCTCACAGGTAGTAATTAGATGATCCTGGCTTCCAGCTCAGGCACTCTGGCTCCAGAGACCACTTGTCAAAGGCTGTGGAAGGGCTGGCGCATATTTCCAGACTGTGTGAAGAGGAGCCAGATTCAAAAAACGCCCAAGGGTAAGTGAGATCAGATGACACTAGCTAGGCCCCTGAGCTATCCAGTTCCCTCTTCCCCCTTCCAGTCCTCCAGCCCTCCTACCAGAAATATCATGAGCTCTGTAACCTACTTGCCTACGGCAGCTATGACTGTCAGGGCAAAGAGCACCAGGTGGAAGACTACCTTATAGGGACATTTCACAGTCCTGAAGCTGAAGATGTGTCCAGAAAGTTCCCCCAACCCCCTTCAGTGCCCTAAAAGTCTCCCCTCAGAAGACCTGCAGTGGCTCCTTAGTAGAGATTCCACCATGGATGGGGTGGGGGCTCATAAATCCCAGCCTCTAGGAGAGAAGCTATTAGCAGTGGTTGGCTGCTGGGGAAGGAGGAGCCAGTTTTCTTCCTGATATTGCCCCTGGTAAGTTGTCCTTTCTCTGGTGGAGGTCCACAGCTCATACTCACAAGGGCAGCTGAAACTATACTCAGACTACGTGCCGTTGAGCCTGAGACACGGTGGGAGGGGTCTTGGAGGAGTTGAAGAAGAGAGGCCACGTGATAAAAGTACATTGTGTATATGAAAGAGATTCTCAAAGAATAAATAAAAATAGTTTTTGAAATCCATGAATGTTTCTCCCAGAGAGAGAGGTTTGGCTAGGCATAAACAGTTCTCGCTGAGGATCTGAAAGGGGTCTGTGTTTGAGGAATCCTCCTTAGCAGATGTGACACACTAAATGCAAAGGAACAGCTACCTAGTTAGTCAGTTGAAAAGAGCGCTGGAAAATGATGGAAAGAGTGGGTTTCATCCCCCAAGGGCCCATTGTGCATCTCTCTCTTCTTTGGTCTTCGGTACATCTCCTCTCTTGCCTTTCTGTGTGCTTTCTAATAGAAAATCAAATGCCAAGTCTACGATTTCATCTTTGTCAAAAGAACTCCATATTCTTTTTTTTTCATGGACTTGGCTAATGACAATAATCTTGAAAGATTAATACTACAAAACCCAGGTATATTTCATGAACAGTAAGGGTTTCAAAGATTCCAGATGTCTCTAGAAGCAGAAGCAAGATGCTCTAAAAACAATAAAAAGATTTTCAATTGTTGTTCCTCTTTTTCACGTATGCACTTACTCACCTGAATATATACCAATTAATATATAATGAAGCTTTACATTTTTAATATTATAAAATGCTTTATTAAAAATTTAAAGTACAGTGTCTCCTCATTTATCTTCGGAGAATACGTTCCAAGACCCACAGTAGGTATCAGAATTCACAGCAATTACTGAACTTCATACACACCTATCTTTTTTCCTATACTTGCTACCTATTATAAAGTTGAAGTGACAAAAGTAACAATAACTAATGATAGAACCGAGCTATTGTAATAGTATACTTTAATGAAAACAATAAATGGAAAGTTATAAATCGGTTATTTCTGGAATTTTCCAGTCAATGCTTTAGAACCAAAGCTCACTGTGTTTAAGTGAAGCCATGGAAAGATACTGAGGGTTAAG